TAGATGATGTTATCAGTTCTTTTTATCTGTTGCATTGTAAAGCTCACAGGAGAGGCACACTGCACACTCAAATTAAAAATTAATTTTTTATTGAATAACTTCCATTTTATCTATACATTAACACTGCTGTCATCTTTCCAGTTCCGGACATTGTGCCATCGTGATTCATTCCTTTTAGAACTGAAGAAACAAAATGGCAAGGAACACAATTCTTAAAAGGGGAGGAAGGAATGATTCTTGATTCTTCATAAAGCCTATAGAAATAAGTCAGAAAGAGAAATGGTCAGGACAATATAACTAAGATAACTAAGGGAAAATTAAAAGGGAAATGAAAATATAAACATCACTAAAACCACCCAACAAGTTGGCTTCTTCATTGGTGGCCAATAGAGTCTCATCAATTAGCCTTGAAGATTATTCTTTAATATTGGGGGGAAAGGGACGAGATTATGAGCAAAAACTGATATAAGAGCATGCTGCCGCCACTGCCTCCTAGTCCTGCATTACCTGGGCCACAGTACAAAAACTGCAGTCTCTGGCCTGCTGACTATAGCATCAAAGAGTCCTGTGAAAATATTTAATAGAAAAGAAAAATGTGGATAAGTGATTTCAGAACAAATTAATATTATGTGTTTCCCTGACATTCCCATAGTTCTTCTCAGAAATTGAGAACTGAAACAAAATAGAATTCCGAGAGAAGCAGTTTGCTTGCAAGATCTTTGGAAGCACATGGCAAATATGCTCATCTCTTTAATACCATGTTTCCCTGAAAATAAGACCCACCCCCAAAATAAGAACTAGCTTGATTTTTGGGGTGGGCCTAATATGAGCCCTAACCCCAAAATAAGCCCGGGGATGGGCAAGACCCAGTGATAGGTTTCTACTGGTTCCGACTGGTTTGGCTGAACTGGTAGTGGTCTAGCAGCTTAGGTCACTGGAACCGACAATGACCAAGGCCTGCCACGTCCCCAAACCGGTTTTCCAGTCACCGCCATCTTATTTGTTAGTTCTGCACATGCGTAGAACAATTTTAATTGAACTATGCATGTGCGCGCAGTGAGCGCAAACCAGGAGTAAAGCCGGGAAGAACCCACCCTTGGTGTGGCCAGCACTTGTGTTGTGGCCACGGGCAAGCAGATGGTGGGAGGAAGCGGGCAGGCAGCCATAAAATAATACACCCCAGAAAAAAAGTCAAAGTGCTTATTTTGGGCGCCAAAAAAAAAAAAAAGTCCCAGTCTTATTTTGGGGGAAACATGGTAATATCAAAATGCACTCAGCACAGTCCTAACCTCTGCTGCCCATGTGTGGGATAAATGCTTCTATGTGAAATCTTTTCTTGAAGGTTTTCCTTGACATGAAAAGGATAACAATGAATTCACCTTAGAAAAAATTCTCATTTCTTTAAATAATGACTTCCAAATTGATGATATGATCAGGAATCTAACATTTGAAGAATTTATTACATGTGAATGAATACATTTATTATACATGAAATTATCTTGCTATGTAGATTAAGGAAAATATGATTGAAATGCTTTGAATTTAAGATGTAAATGAAGCATGTCAGCAAACCTAACCACTTATGCATTATTTCCTGAATTGAGATCATTTCTGTAACCATAGCTGAATTAAAAAACCTGTTTGAAGTAATAGAATGCAGATTAAAAAAAACATTCCATTCCACTGGAACATATTAAAAAATCCAGCAGTTTTCACCCTTCTGTTTAATATGTGAAGTTAGACAAATATATATGTCTATTCACTTCAAGAGAAAGGAACAGTAAAAAATTAGATAGGAACTTAGAAAAAAGCTCAAGAAATAAAGGCATGAAAATAAAGAGAAGGATAATTGAAAAAAGAAACGTCTGATCATTTATTTAATTATACTGATAAACCATTTTTCTTCAACAATGGATCTGAATATAATATACATAATATATCTGGGTGATCCTCTAGCGGCTAACTGAATGTCAGCCACTGACATTCTCTTTGAATGACTTTTTTTTTTTTTAACATGTAGGAGGTTTAAAAAAAACTAATAAAGGAAACTTGATGGACAGAAAACATGGATCTAATACCAAAGGAAAGAGAGAGCAAACATGATAGAAAAATGTAAGAGCAATGAGAAAGATCTACCTATATTATATATGTCGACAACACCATCAAGTTCATCATTCAACTACATATCTATGACACTCACTTTACATATTTATATACAGATAGAGGTGTGTGTGTGTATACACACACACGTACACAGACAGACACATTCTCTCTCACACACACACCCACATACCAATGACTGCATCTCTAAGGATCCTTCTGTCAAAGTACTTCGAAGATATACGTAACAGTCATTGGTCTCATTTGAGACAGTGATGAGTCTGCATATAGACAGAAGGTTGAACAACTGGCCCTGTGGTGCAGCAGGAACAACCTGGAGCTGAACTTGATTAAAAATTTAGAGATGCAAGTGGATTTTAGGAAGAGCCCTCCTATTCTATCACCTCTTACTATATTTGACAGCACAGTATCATCAGTAGAATGTTTCAAGTTTCTGTTTTCTATAATGTTCCAAGCTTTGAAATGGACATCTAACATTAGAATCATCATTAAAAAGACACAACAAAGCATGTTCTTCCTGTGTCAACTTAGGAAGTTCAGATTGCCCCAGGAGCTGTTGATACAATTCTACACAGGGATATTGAATCTGTCATTTGCACTTCTATAACTGTCTCGTTTGGTACAGCAAATAAATAAGGACAGGTACAGAGTCCAATGGATAGTCAGGACTTCAGAAAAAACAATTGCAACCAGCCTGCCTTCCATAATTTGTATACTGTGAGGGTCAGAAGGGCTGAGAAAATAACTACAGACCTCTCACATCCTGGACATAAACTGTATCAACACCTTCCCTTGGGACACCACTATCATTACATGCCAAAACCATAGACACAGGGACATTTTGCCATTATTGTTCTGAATATCTAATCCTCATAGTAGTATAATGTCTAAGTATATTTATCCATGTTGTATGGCTGTAATATTATTATCATCCTAATCTTTTCTAGTACTCCTTCTTATTGATATCATTATTATGACTATTATTACTCTGTTGCTTTATGTGTATACTGAGAGTTTCTGCACCAGAGATAAATTCCCTGTGTGTCTAATCACACTTGGCCAAATAAAGTATTCCATTCCATTTCCTATTGCTGTTTTAGATATAATTTCAAATATAAAGATGAGTCAAAAGGTGGAATGTCCTTGGGTATCTTTATTCATTCTTCCCTTTAAAATAAAAATATGGAATGACATACATTATTTTTGCTTGCAAAGTCATCCAGAAGTGAATATATTACTTTACAACAGAACTATAAATTTGATAGACCTGTGTCCTTCTCGAAAAGCTCCATAGCAAGGTCGGGAAGTTGTTTTTTGCGGTGGAGATCTGATGCTTATCTTCTTCTACTTCCTTTTCTACAGACCTGCAGGGGAAAATCTGTATTGGGAAACATCAAGGTAACTGATCATTTTACATATCACCTGCCACTTACTCCACCTGGGACCCTTATTATGAAGCGTCTTCTTGTTCTTCTTTGCTTTTAGACAGAAAAAAGGATACACCTGGATTTCAGAATTTACTTTTTAAAATGCTGCAAAGGCAACTACGTTTTAAGTAATTATACATTGGTTCCTTTATGGCCAAAGGGCTATATAAAAATAAACAAATTGCATTATAAATTACCACAAATCTTCCTTTAAACTGCTTATGAAAAACAACATAATTCTTCGATCCAGATGAGGCTCATTCCAAAATGAATTTGGTAACTCAAGATAAGATTCCTCTTGCATAGTGCAGAACTGGTGGTACAAATATGTCGTGCTTTGTATTCACTCACTTTTTGCTTCCTAATCATTCTTCTATTTACTATGCTGCAAATCATGCACTATGGCAACAAAGCTTAAATAAATCTTTCAAGTGTTTAAATCAAATGCCATACTACAGAGCCAAAAGAGCAAGATTGGATTCAGTTTGAACAAACCCATCCTCAAACTCAGATCATAATAATACACCAATTCAGAATAGATGTCTGTTGTTCTACTACTGGATCTTGAATGGGCAGATCAGACTACTCCCAACCTCTAGAGAGCTAAGGATATAAGCTTGTGTGGTTTGACATGAAAAATACAGACAGTCCTGCCCTCTGTTGAGAATGTCTAAGAAGGAGCTGTGTTCAGAAGCCTTAAAGAGAGGGAGGGTCTTTTTATTTCTTTTTCAAAGGGGCTAAGATATGCTGTCATTCTTTCTACTATATACAGGTAACTTTTCACCTTATGACCACAATTAAGGCTAAAATTTCTGTTGGTAAGTGAGACATTTGTTAAGAGAATTTTGCCACATTTTACGACCCTTCTTGCCACACTTGTTAAGTAAATCTGGCTTCCCCACTGATTTTGCTCGTCAAAAGGTTGCAAAAGGTGATCATATAACATTGGGACACAGCAACAGTCATAAGTATGAACCAGTTTCCAAGCATGGGGATGCTACAAAGATTGTAAGTGTGAAAAATGGTCATGTCACCTTTTTTAGTGCTGTTGTAACTTTGAACATTCATTAAATGAATTGTTGTAAATCGAGGACTACCTGTTTACAGATTCCAACTATTCCCTCATGTAGGCATTTTTAATGCCACAAAAAGAATATTCCCACTAAAGAGATAAGTTAATTTTTTGATACACAATAGAATTAGAAAATAAACTGAAACTACTCCAGGACAATTAACTACTACTACAATCCTGGGTCAGGTTCTCAGCCTCAATCCAACATTGTTATTTTCCATGTCTTCTGTGATTTAAGCTTTCCTTGTGTTTGAAGCTGGAAAGTGCATTTCCGCTACTACAAAAGATGCAGATGCTTGTAATTATAGGAAGTATAAGCTGAATTTCAGAAACTGTGAATCAGAATCACATATCTTTTTGCTTTTCGACATAATAAAAAAATGTCCTGCTAATCTAATTTATTTCAGAATACTACCCAAATTTGCACAGGCTGAATGCTATCTTTCTGCTTAGCTTAAATTTGCCCCAAAGCACGTCATTTTAATTGAGCTTTTGTCCCCACCCATGACATTATTAGACTCTACATAATTCACAGTTTAATCTAAACTGGAAAAAAAAATCCCATCCATACATTTCCTGCTCAGCTATTTTTACCCCAAAAAGAAATGGTTGATCTACAGACAAGGGTGTATCTGCTGCCTCCTTCAAGGAACTGCAAATGCCTCCAATCTTACTGAAGTACTTAGGTCTTCCAGATCAAGAAAGTTGTTTTTCTGCAAATCTTAACTAGGTGGAAGTAAAATTAAACACTTAAAATAGCAGGAAATATTTCTCCCAACACCCAATCAACATGGTCAGGATAGAGAACTGACACTAATTTAAAAATGCATATATATATGCATGCGTCATACCTGCCTGCGACACCTCCGCAAGTCTCTTTGACACTTCAGCTGCTCAGCGGAGCATCACACAGGCGCCGTATGCACCATGTGCATGCACATAAGCTCCAAAGGATTAAAGGACAGGTAAGGAGCTCTTGTAAGTGGGTGGGTCCTCCGCAGCACCGTACCTGAACGGTACCCGGTGCTCCAGGCAGGCTCCGGTATGCCTGTACCGGGGCGTACCGCCTGCAACCCACCACTGATACACACACACACACGCACACACACACACACATGATACTTTAAAAGGCGGGAAATGAGACTGCTGGAACAAACACCCAATTAGCGAAAATGTGCCCAAATAGGACGGCATAGAGCCAGGGCGGGTGGACAGGCCCACCTGTGATTTCCACCAGTGAACTGTCTGAATACAACCTCTGCTACTGGGCCTAAGACATTTAAAAAAGGAAACTTCTACATTAGTAACATTTAATACAATACAGATCTTTTATATTCATTTGTGAGTCTTTCTCTTTCTTTCTTTTTCTTTCTTTCCTTCCTTCCTTCCTTCTTTCTTTCTATTTCCTACCATCCCTCACTTCCTCTTTCCTTTACATTCCTCTTTTGCATATAATAAAATTCCAGAGATACTTTGTCAAACTGTATACCACATTCACATATATGGCAGCAGAAATAAATTGCTTCTCCTATAACATCTTTCCTACAAATGGAAGTACTGCTTAGATTCCAGTGATTCCTACAATTATCAAAGTAATTCACCTGTGAGGAAATTATTGTTAATGTCACAGAAAGTTCTTTAAATTATAAGATACTGAATGATTTACATTGTGCTTAATACACAACTCTGAAATTAAGCATGATATTCCTCTTACACTATTAACAACAGGTAAAATATTCACAATTTTGCAGTGCTACAACTAATTTCTAATAAGCCTCAAAAATTGAGAGGTTCAAAGCATGATTTTAAAAAGGCCAGAAAGAAAGTATTAGAGCCAAAGAAAATTAATTTTGAACTTTTCAGAGAACACATTTTTGTTTGACATTTATTTAGATGCTGAAATTTTCTTCTTAATTAAACTATTCTTAGTTTTCTGTTTTACACAGTATATTACCTCTGGGCAAATAAGTGGAGATAAGTGTTCCTAAGAAATTGCTTCATTTTCCATTCTATTCACACTGTAAACATATTTCCCATCCTTAGTGACAGCTTCATCTCTATGTGCATGAATAGAATCAATGCAGGATAGAAGTGATAATTAATCTACAACATCACTTTTGTATATTTAACATAAGGATGTAGTTGTTAAAAGAAAAAAGTTGAGAATAATGACCTTCAGCTTGTTTTTAAGGAAGTGATAATGAAATTAAGAGAAATACCTAAATCTGTCAGCTCCCTTAGTCAGCATTCCAGATTAAACAGAAATGTGGACTTAACATATCCGTTATGGTGAATAAGAACTGATCAAGGGTCAGACTCACCATGCAGAGTAACAAGTCAAGGAAGCTGTCTCTCATCTTTGCACGTTACATCAGCTAATATTTTGGAATCCATCTCTCCCCACATGGCAGCATTCTCTGTTCTCGGGTGCCATCTGTATAATCTCCTTCTTCTGCTGCCACCTACCAGTTTTATTATTCTGTTGCAGCACAAGGGCATATAGAAGAAGTTCTTGTTCAGCTCACAGAAAAACCACACAATGGGGATCCTTTAAAGGCATGAAGCTCACTACAATCTTTCCTCCCATACCTCCCATCTCCTTCAGAACAATTTTGGACAGAAGAACAAAATAATAAATTTGCAGGTATCCTTACAGATGGATACTACATGGCAGATTAAAAATACAAATGCCATCAGATGCTTCTATTATGTTACCATCACATTTCAACACACAAGATTTTCTGTTGCATTAAGCATACCTAGTTATTACCGTCCTCTTTCATAGTACCCTGTTTCTTTTTCCAAGTATATTTCTAATCAAACTCTGCAATTCATAAACTTAATTCACATAGAACATTAAAAAGTAAAACAGCATTTCCTGAAAGCTGGAACTCTGGGCAGTGCCAAATGTCTGTCTTATTGGATTGCCCTTTTAGTGCAAGCAAAGTGAAAATTTAATTTTGTTGAATAGCGTACACAGGCTCCTATTGTTTAATATCACTTTACTTCTTCTCTCCAATTCCAGCAACTGCTAATTTGCATGAGCATTGACAATTATAAGGAACAATTTGCAGTATGATCCTTTCTCTTGTTTAGCTTTTTCAAGTCACAAGAGTTGCAGTAGGAATCAGATTGTGTCAAAAAGCCTAAAAATTGGCAAGAGAAGAAAAAAAAAGTCTGTTCAACAGCCAATTTTAATCTAATGTTTTACTCTTTACGCAATGCCTCTGGGTCAAAAATAACAGGGAAGACAATTTTATAAGACTTTTGCAGAGCAGCCATTTTTTGTTTCAAATAAATTTGCAAAATAAGCTATGTCTGGGAGAGATTAAGTATTCATGAAAAATAGAAGTTATAGAAATAGTAGTATAACAGTAAATCTTCCACATAAAGAATACTGCTTTAAATCTATCTTAGCAAAATATCTTGGCACTTTTACATTTCAAAGCAATATATTTAAGGTTAACCTGACAAAAGAAAACACTTTTCTTGTAATACGATATGTACATGCTCCCATGCAAAATATTTGGGGGATGTTCATCTGGAACATTTTGTTCTTTCATATTAGCCATCATTTCTACCACTGGCTGTGTCACTGTTGTCATATGTTTATGCAGATATTTGAATATTAAATCAAAAATAAAATATTAAGAAGTTATTCAGATTGTTCATTATTACCAATAAATAGCAGTATACTGCGCAACCCATATAGAAAATTCCTGAAATAAAATCCCCCTCTGAATTTTCGCAAGTACGCAATGCCCTCCACCCAAGCCCTGATATAAGAAATAGAAAATTATATAAACTTTTTACTCCTATTTTCCGTACCTGTTAATTGATGCCGATTAGTTTTGTGCTGACTGTGCCCCTGGAAAGCATCAAAGCCCTGTAAAACTTAAGCCAAGAACGTATATTGGGGGAAGGGGCAGCAAGAAGGGGTAGGTACATGGGAAGATCGAGATGGCAGAATCTGTGAAGTTACATACCACACCATCCCTTCTTTCTGTCACTGCACACTGCTTAAATTTTCTCTTGCTGTGATCGTACTTGAACACATGGATCACAATAAGCTTTAAAGTCTAATTCTGCTAAATATACACAAAATGAAGAACAAGAAAAGAAATACCATTTGCTTCCTAAACTCATTCTTTTACAGTAATAATCATATTATGACTCAGGAAGAGAAAAAAGGAAAGCAGTGTTAGCTAATATGGGATGATCAAGAGCTGAAAGTTACCTGCCAAGGGGTTGGTATTGGATGCCACCGGGCTGCTGCGTTTATTGTTTTACCACAGGGGGGGGAAGTTTAGGGAGGAACATTCTCAAGGATTTTCACAAGCGCTCTCTCTCTCGCTCTCTCTTGTCACCAGAAAGGGGAGAAGGGAAGTTTTTCTCTGGATTGTTTGACTTTTTTTGGCTCCTGAAAAGTTTTGCAAAGAACAGTAAGAAAATGTGAATTGTTAGAACATTCAAAAAAAAAAGTAGTATGCACTACACAGCGGTTCCTTAAGTGTTACAAATTCCCACCCAAAACATCAAGTAATTGACAATGCGTTAAACAAATAAAAGTCATTCAAATGAAAACCGTAACATGAGGGATACAGAAATTGCCAATGATGGTCCAAGCCATCATCAGAACATCCCAAAATTCACCCTCCAATATCAAGACACTCAAATATATATTAAAAAGAAAAAGAAAAAGAAAGCAAAAAGATAACCTTTTGTCATAAATTCTATAATACTTTATAAATTCCTAGAACAGTGAAAAATTAAAAATGAAAGAGACAGTAGCAGCAGAGGTTACCTGTCTGAGCACCTACAATTCCATAGAGAGAACAGGAGTGGGTCGTGAGTCTCACACCAGCCAAATAGCTCATAAACCTTCTCAAAAAGAGTGAGCCATGAGAAAGAATTGTACATGTTGATACATCTTACATAGTTTAAACCCTTATACATTTAACCAACTTGAGCTCTGCTTTTATTAAATGGGAGGATTTGAAATTTAAAACAGTATTCATCAAATCTGGTACATGTCCAATGCAGCGCTTCTGAAACTGTCTTTTATTCCTCCCTCCCAAATTTCACAGGTTCAAAACATTTTTCTTGGCATATCTTCTATGGTAAATTGCTGAACAAAGTCAGTGTAGTTAGATCCAATACGTTGAAAGTTTGGTGGAACACAACAACAACAAAAATAGTCCACACATATGCTGTCTTCCCAACATCTGTTATTAATGCTCTACCAAAGGGTTCCAGAATGAGAAGTTTTATCAACAATATAAAATCTGAGAAGATACAAAGCTACAAATACAACCTGTAATTCTATACAGTAGAAAAAGTATAAACATAGCATCTGTAAAATAAAAGCACAAACAAAATATACAGTACTCATTAAACTCCATCATTATCATCCAACCCCCAAACTTGGTTCCATTTGAATACTGACATTCACTACAACTTATATTTTCCCAATTGTTCAATTCTTCTTTGCTAGTTGTTCATTTCAAATTATGATAAGTAATGTTGGTACTCTTAATATACTTGTCAGTATTTTTTTCCAGCAAAGTGTGATGTGTAGCACTACTCTCTACAGAAACTCTAGTTATTAGAAACTAAATTCATTTTCTTTACCAACAGTAATGTTTTTAAAGCTTCTTTTACAACATTTTTTTAAAAAATTACATTACGTGAGGGAATTTTTTTCAAGCATACAATTTCCTATATGATTTTAACATGCAATGCCAGTTTCTATTTCAACAATGTGTGAGACTTTCCTTTGCCCAAACATTATTCAGTCTCTTTTCCATCTTTCCAATACAACCACAACACACACATGGCCATCACATGGCAAACACATAAACCGAAATATAAAATCCCTTAATGTGTTCATTGTGTATGATTCAGAACAAAGTGTATGTCATTCCATTGCATTTATAGTGGTGTAAATTGAGTCTATACATTTTGAAAAAAAAATCATGTGAAAAACATTTGTCACAAACTGTTTTTTCTCAAACAGTGGAGAAACTCAAATAGCCCAAATATAAGTATTAAAGAGTTGTCAAACTTCTTCTGGCATCAACTTTGTTTCCAGTGAATGTTGCAATATTTTTCTGCTAGTTTACAAAGGTTAATTCTTTGCTCATGTTTCCGAAAGATGTGCAATCTTTTAAAGAAACCTGTATTTTAGAAGGCACATGTCTAGTTAACAAAGGGGTGAAGGGCCACAAAGCAGAAGGAAAGAAAGCTACTTCGTGTTTTTCTTTTTCTGAGTTTTTTAAAATAGAAACCTTTGTATTTTCTTCAACCTACACATGCTAAAATATTGTTTCTGCTTCATCCGCTAATGTCAACAATCATCCTTCTATTTTGCTTTTAACAATAACAATTAATTCTACAAAATTGTCATTATTGTATTTTAAAAATCTGTACAAGTAGGCATGATCGACCTTCATGAAAGCAAGTTAATACTTTTCTATTTATTCCTAGTGTCTCGGTAAAGTGTTCACAAGTGGTGTTTGATACCGAAGTGGAAGTTAAAACAGCTGAGTGATGAAGTTGGCCAGTAGAATGAAGCTCAGAGCCTTGGAGGGTAAATTGTTGTTCTGAAGCACTGAGACAAAACAACCCTACACACAGAAGCTGCCCATCCTCCAAAGCCCTTTCATAAGCCAACTTGCTGTTACAAATATACTACTGTGTCATGTTGTGGATGGCTGCTTTTAAAGTAACAGTATTTTATTTACATTTTTCTATAATTTCAATATGGTATATACCCAAAGTAAATAAATGAGTGAGAAATGGGTGAGGAGGAGGAAGATGAGGCCATTAAAACAGACCCAAAGCTGATGTTTTGGTTATTTTATCAAATTTAATAAGAAAATGCACAGCCAGAAGTATCAGGGATGGACTGGGAGAGGAGATCATCAGGCATTCTGGAAAAAAGACTGACGAACTGGACAGACAAAAATTAATGACAAAAACAAAGCAAAATACAGACACATACAAAGGGGCCTGAGATCCACACACTGGCGGCCTTAAATCATATTCCCATTCTGGCTGGGCCTTACTGGCAAAGTGTTTCCCAAAACCAAAACCTGCTAGTTTCTTTCAGGATTTATCCTTTGTAAATCAGGCCACTTTAGATTTTAATGCCTTCTATCAATAATAGTGACACATTAAATTTACAAAATGTAATTTTGAAATTTGCAACCATTTCAACCCTCCTCCACACCCCTCCCATATTTTCTACGCATCAGACTTTTTTCTGTAAGTTTGTTACTATTAGTGGTGATGTTGAGTAGTACAGGTATTTTTCAAATTGGGCCCTGTTAAAGATGTAGGCATGGAGAAGGAAGTGTTGGACGAGCATGTATTAAAAATGAAACATTAACACAGCATATATCTTGCAAAAAGGACTAAAACACTAACAAATACAAGTCAATGCACATTTGTTTTAAACTAGTGTTATTCTTTTTCACATTGGATTAAACATTATTTTGTACACCAAAAGTTAACAGTGCTGTTTATCTCAGTTCTTGTGCAAAAGAAAACATGCCGCTTCTGCCATCAATGGCCCAAACTGAATTTTACACACAACTTCTCCCCATCCTGACCTAAAGCAAGGTTTTAAAATTATTTTTTAAAAATCCAGATACATAGCAATTTTTTTTCTCCCAAGGAAAGTGAATTTGATTTTAAATCTAAACATGTGGACATCTTGTCAATACAGAAATGGCAGAAGTTGCAGGTTTATTTCAAAAGCTCATGCTGAAGTAATCAATGTTGCACCCTGTAAAACTGCTTAAAGGCTAGAATTTCATTGTGGACTGTTGTCAGGGATACAATTTTACAGATCTTATTGATAATAGATAGAAATGCTGATATTTAGAACCTTTGAATGAAATAAAAAAATGGCTGTTCTAATTTCTCTCCACTCCTATAGGACATAAAGCAAAAGGTATATAATAACTAATAGGAATGAGCTCCAATGAGGTGAGGGGAGGGTTGGCAAATTATTAGTTCACAGGTGCTTCTGGAGCATTAACTTTTAAAATTACAAATAGTATAAATGAAGATGAAATATTTTAATATGAGTTCAAATATAATGGCATCCCTACCAAAAACAGTTCTTACCCAGTTCTTTTCCTCCATTTCCCAATGCAGAGTATTAAACAAAGTATTATCAAATGAAAAATAGTTGTTAAAAATAACAACTAGACATATGTTCTGTAAGATTAATAGGAAAGCAGCATTCACAGAACATGCATGTTTTGATTCTGAGCCCCAAGTTAAAACCCTCACCTCACCTCTATAAGCTGCTTCCAATAAACAGCACTACAAGTTGGTTGTATTTAAAAAAAAATTTACAAGAAAATTGGTCATAGTTATTTACATGTGGCATCACTCCACTAGGAGCTTAATCTCATTGGCTATTAGCTGGTTCATATTGAATATCCCCCCCGGGAGCTTGGTGAGCAACTCTCTCTCTGTGGTTTCAGGGTCGCTGTCGACAGAGCTGGAGCTAGCACTCATATTGTCGACAGTGGCACTAGCTGGAGGTCCCAGCTCTGGCTCGCTAGTTTCGCTAGCCGTGGATACTACAGAGAGCAAGGACATGCGTCGTGTCAAGCGACCGGGAGGAAGCAGTGAAGCGGCATAGTCCGCTATGATACCAGCTACATCTAGATTGCAAGCCTTGTCAAAGGCAATGAAACCTACATTTGCATTGGCCTCACAGACGCAGAACGAGCCATCATCCTTCATTAGGAGGTCGATGCCACAGATATCCATCCCCAAGATGTTAGAAACTTGGATTGCCAGTTGTTTCCCTTGTTCACTGAGTGAGCACATCATACCTATACCACCTAGTAACAGGAAGAAAGCTAAATCAGGGTACAATAGTATTCCAACTCAAATTCAATAAACCTATATGAGCCACAGAGAGTGCTATGAGAGTTTAATGCTTATTATGGTATTGAGGCTAGCTTTTAAGAAATTTTGTGAGGATTTCCCATTTTAAAAAAAAGGGGGGATCTAGTTGCTGGTGTTAAAAATAAATGCGTTCTAGAAAAACTTTGATGGGTAAATAAGAAAGTAACCAATACAGGCTGATATACCTTCTTTATTTATCTTTATTTTCAATCATACCATTTATTTAACTAATTCACAACTACAGTGAGGCTTACCTATGTTTGACCATGCATTTGTTCCCCTCTCTCATCTCAAAGAGATGATATAAAGGATTGAATGAAATAAAATAGGAATATAGAACACTTATGAAAGCCGATGAAATTGGAAACAACGTTCACAAAGAGGAGAATTGATCCAGAATATGGGCCATTTCAGAGTGTTAATTTCCAGATAGAAGAAATGACTAACCGTTACTAGTACAAAGATAGTGTGGCATTCCCAGATACTAAGGGACTTGCTCTACCCACATAAACCAATTAAAAAAAGCAGTTTTTAAAATTACTAATAGTAGAACTCTCATGAAGTTTCAATATAATGTGTTTCCCTGAAAATAAGACCAGGTCTTATTTTCTTTTGGGGTGAAAAATAAGCACTAGGGCTAATTTTCAGGGGGTATCTTATTTCCCCCCCAATGTATGGGAGGCCACTTCTTCTGATTGTTCGCAATGACACAGGAGGCTGTGTGGTGCGCCAGTGCCACCACCGCAAAGCAGGGGGGTGGAGCTGCCCCACGACCCCCCCCCCGGTTTACCTCAGAGGCCCCACAGCCAGGCCACCCACACCCTTACATTTGCTTCTGCTCACGGCAGCAGCTCCAGCATGACCCTGTATGGTTGTCGGCCCACTTCTTCTGCTTGCTCACTGGCGCAACAGAGCAGGAGGTCGAGTGATTTGTCAGTGCCACAGTCATGAGGCGAGGTAGGAGAGTGTTGCTGCTCCATGTGCCCCGCACTAGCCTACCTCAGGACAACCGCAGCCAGGCCATCCATGCCCCAACACTTGTCTTGCCTTGCGGCAGCAACACCAACACACCACTTGGCCTCCTGCTCTGTTGCGCCTGTGAGCAAGCAGAAATGGGCCAGTGGCCACGTGGGCTCCTGCTGCACATGGCTACAAGGCAGGTTTCAGGGCGTGGATGACTTGGCTGGTTCTTATACAAAATCTCATGATCGGGGTAGAGAAAGTAAACATTTTTGTAAGACCTTAAGGTGAGATTAATTTAATATTGTGGGATGTTGGTATTAAAAAAGGTTCTGGTGATTATGCCATGTGAAATTGCATGATGTTGGCTCGGCACATAAAATGGCCTATCTATTCCTGCTACTTCTTAACTGCAGTAAATGATTGGGAGAATGATCTAAAAGGAAACTGCAGAAGTAATGTAAATGTAAAGGCAATCTATACAAATACAAATATTATACAGCAGTTACTTAATTTAGTGGACTTAAAATTTTATGGATAAATGGCTGCTCGATCTGAGGTTTGAACAACTTTCAGGACTTTGCCCCAAATAACAAATACAAATGTGTTGTTTGGTGAGACAGTTCATATAATAACCAATGGTTCTCATCAAAAGGTGTTTGATGTTATTAGTTTTTCTATGTAGAAGAAAATGTGCTATTTAGTGTATATGCAAGCTTAGGGTTAGATAGTGATTTCCCTTTTAGTCCATTAAATCAAAATTTATTGTATTTGTTTCTTTCAAAATAATTTCTACATTTAGAATAGCACTGTCTATGAAAAATGTATGCCTTAAAATTAGAATTTAAAAATTTAACACATATCGTAAATTCAAACACATCTTCATTCTTACCAAGTGAGCAATTGCTCTGCATTCTACCATCTGTTGAGCAACGCAGCATAGTGCCCACGACACGGCCTCCCACCACGATGACACGCACATCTTTGCCATGAGACTCCTGGACATATTTCTGGAATAGATATGGGGCTTCATGACGAATTAGATGGCTCAGGTCTGCCAGATGGTGCTTGTCTCTGGCTAGAAACACAGCTTTTCCTGCATCAAAAAAAACACAGAAGATGAAAACTAGTCAGTGATTTTCCTGCCTGTATTTTAAAGAACTGGAAAGGCATTGTGTCTATACATTCTCAACTTCTGTACTGGAAACATTATCCGGATAACTGGTGAATGAATATAAATAAAAATGGCAAAGCACTTATAAATTTGGTGCTACTAAAACAGCAAAATTTGGAAAATATTACCTTGAAGTACACTCACAATTTCCAGGGCTTATTCCAGTTCTCACTCCCTCAGTATAGCTCTCTCAGTATCCTTCAATCTTGGCCTGTACCATTCCGTGCTATTCTAGTAGAACTAGGTTGCAAGAGTGTTTTGCAACAGGTTTGGGATTCTCTAGACACATAAAACAGAGGGCTGCACCAATCACAGTCTAAAGATGGCAGAGATTCCAAGGTGCTGTTCATGATTAATTGATGAATCAAAGCAAACCAGTTCTAATTAAATTGCAGTTGCCAATTAAAATGATTAGTATAGCAATGGAATATAAAACCTAGTTAAAATTCTTGCCAAATCAAAATTCACATTAAATATATTGATTAAAATGTTAAATTTATTGATAAATATCCTTTAGTTGAATACAACCATATTTAGGATAATATCATTAATAAATAAAACATATTTCATGCTATCTTAAGGAGGATTTTATAAACAATCATTTTTTCAGTAACTAATATGAAAGATGTTGATTCTATTTAAAATTTCTTCATTAAAGAATTTACTCATGTGTATTCAAATCTACTTAAGGTTTGGGTTGTAAACCTGCCATAGAATACAAAGCATATTCTAAGATAAACAACTAAACTAAATAAATACTAGCAATTAGAGAATACAAAACAAAATCCAGAGATTCAAATCTGTAAATAAGCGTAGGTTCCAATGCTTTGATGAAGCTCTAAGCAAAATAGCAACAAATACACATTATTTACAAAAGTAGGTAAACTGCATACACTTCTGCTTTCATTCTCTAATAAAGGAATTTTAAAAAGTAATTTAGAGTAACATGAATGAACCAATGCTGATTCATAATGTGTGTGTGTGTATGTATGTGTGTGCATATGTATGTGTGTGTGTGTGTGTGTGTGTGTGTGTGTGTGTGTGTGTGTATATATGTATATGTGGTTGTATGATGATTGGTAGATTGGTGCTGATTGGTGCTGGCTGTGTGTCCATTGTTGTTTCGTGTTCTAACGGCCTGGTGGGACTCGTTTGTTGACTAGGGCTGGTTTCCAGATGTCTGGTATGTGGAAAGTATCGTCATGTTTATTCATGTTGTGGGGGTGTTTCTCTATTTCGATAGCTTCCATAATTATTCTCTTGTGATCTAGTGTTA